TATATATATATATAAGCATTTCCGTCGAAGGGCAGGGTCGGCGAGGGCGCCGAGGAGCTCTTTGATGCAGAGGCGCCAGAAAGCCTCGAGAGATACCAGTAATACAGGGTCCTTCATGTTTAGATGGCTCGGAGTTGACTCACGCTGCAAGTGTATATATAGTGAGGAACCCAGAAGACTAGTATTCATAATTTAGTCAGGCCCCCTATATTGGGTTTGGGGAGATGCACGCTGATGCAAGAATGCTCAGCTTCGAACTTCATGATCTCCCACTGGTCCNNTAGGGTTTAGGGCCTAGGGCTTAGAATTTGGGCTCTTCGGGCTTATTTAGGCCCCAAAAAACCACATAAGCATAAATTAGGCTAGGGATATCCCGTATACACCCCCTTAAAATGAAGCCCTATAAGGTAGGGATATCCCTATAACACGCTTATGCTTATGTCCTTTTTGGGTCCCTAACTTATGCACGGGCGCTTGGGTGTGGCGTTGTTCGGAGCCGACTGGTTGGTCTTGGGGTAGGCCGCAGTATACGTCGGGGCCTTAATAATTGGAATCGGGTTTTGGGGCCCAGTATACGACGATAACAAAAATTAAAGGAACCCCCAAAATAGTATAGGCGGCATAGGTAATTAGTTAGGCCCCTAAATGGTACGTCTTAAAACAAGGAGTTGTGTTCTAGTTCTTTTGAAAAAGGGCAAAGTTCAGATTCAGTGTCGGGCCTCGAAACAAAGCACCCTTTCGGGCTGCAACGTGCCATTCTCGACCTGACTTGCCAACTTGATTAGGGGAGCTTCTTGCAATGCCTATATGATATAGCCCTGTAACGCAAACCCCACACGCCCTACATCCCTTCAAACTTTGGCAAGTGCAGGGGGGCTCTTTCAGCGCATCGCATTCTGTCTGTCTGCTCTGGCCGTGTCGAACTGGTCGAACAAGTCAAGAATTGGCTGAACCGGATACCTCCAATTCAAGAAGGGAAGACTTGAAGACACATGAATTAATCCCTTCCGGACGACGGGTATTAAATAAACTCTGCCTCTTCCCACCAGCATGGTAAATATGACGCTATGAAATGTGAAACTGTGCAAGCCAGGCATCCTCTGAACAGTGAGATTTGCCAAGAATGGACAACTTCTTGACAGCTCTTCCAGTGAGAGCAGCCAGAGCCACTTGCCCGCGCCGTTGCCTATGTCCGTGGTAACCCCAAACCCTAAACCCTAAACCCAGAACCCTAAACCCTAAACCCCAGCTTTGCTCTTCCAATGTAGAATGACACTCCAAAGGAAATGGCGAATGCCAGCCGACAGAGCGATCCGTAAACTCCAAGCAACCTCCTTGAGTGTGGGACATGCGCAGGGCTTGGGGCTAGAACTTCCCGGAACCTTAATATTGAGCCGAGCGGCCATGCCACGTAATGGGGAGATGATTCCTCCGCCACAACGCGCATCCCTGAATCACGTAGTTCCCATAGAACACGTCGTGGAAGCGTTTGAAACTGTCGCTAACCTCATGCTGCGCAAGTGCTAAAGCCACGAGCTTTCAGGCCTTTGGGTTTAGCATGGACGAAGTGGCAGGCAGTCTAAAATGCTGTGCAGAAGCTGTACAGCACGGCTGGTTGGCACAGCGCGGGCGCCAGCCGTCGCGACAAGCCACGTTCTCCACCTCGACAAAATTCCCAAAGATGGACTGATGATAGTCCAACGTCACAGACCTTAGGAATCAGTGAATCTACCCGAATCTACCCAAACTCACATGCCACGCTCCATCTGGGCTGCGTGCTCCCTGTGTTCCCAAAAATACATCTTGAAGAAGAGCTGGTCTGTCTCTCCAGCGATAGCGTCCTGGGCACGACGTGATCTGTACCACCGTCATAGGTAGTGACCCTAAAGCCCATGATGCACCACTACTCTCATTTGAAGGAAACTACAGGTGGGGAGTTTAGGGTATATAGGGCTTCTAAAAGGCTTCTATAACGTATATAACCCTTCTACAAGACTCCTATAAGGGTAACTACCCACCTGAAAATGTCCTAGATGTCAATACCCATCCCAAAACGTGTTTTCTGGGCTCCTCCGCTGTGGTCTTGCGGCGGAGGTCTGGGAAGGCTCCCCCCTTCACTTCCGCAGCAAGGTCCAGGACCCACGTGATGATCCGGACCAGGGCTGAAGCAGGACCGATGTAGCCTCAAAAACAATCCAGTCCGAGCTCGAGGCAGAACTCAAAAGGCGGCTTTGCTAAACTGGGCTCTTGTTTGGGGATTTTATTTAAGTTACCATAACAAGGAAACCATATTATTTTCTATAGATCCCTATTATGGTAACTTAAATTAGATCCCCTAGCAAGAACCCACTAAACCCTGAAGCTGATAACCCAGACCCTGCTCGGTGCTCGAGGCCTCCGGCATTGAGGTACTTCGAGTCCGTTGAGCCCTGCGGGTAGTGCGCGTCGTCCTAGAAGCGCAGGTGCCACGGTCTCACTAGGCCCTTATAGGCCCTTATAAATCCTAAACCCTTCTAGCATAGACCCTAAACCCTCAACCCTAAACCCCAAACCCCAAACCGTAAACCCTAAACCCCAAGCCGCTTCAACCCTAAATCCTCAACCCCAAACCACTTCAAGCCGAAACCCGAAACCCAAAGCCCTAAGCCTGAATATCCGAAACCCAAAACCACTGGACTCCCTCCGCAACCCGAGGCCTCCTCGGAACAGATGTGGCCGCCCCCCCAGCCGCAGAGCCGCTCCGAGGAGAAGACGACCTCCAAGAGACGCAAAAAATGATCTGTTTAGTAATTTAGGGTTTAGGGTTTAGTAATTTAGGCTTTAGGGCTTAGGATTGAATTTTTAGGGTTTAGGGTTTAGGATTTAATTTTTAGGGTTTCGGGTTTAGGGTTTAGGATTTGATTTTTAGGGTTTGTGATTTAACTTTTAGGGTTTAGGATTTAACCTTTAGGGTTTGGGGTTTAGGGTTTCAATGATAGCACTAAGATTAAGAAGAAGATGACTAGTAGTAATGATAATAGTAGTAACAATAATACTAGTTATGATAAGAATAGTCATAATAATCATCATCATCACGAAAGACTTACAAGTACCGGGGGTTAGGGTTTAGGGCTGAGGGGCAGTTGAGGGTGTAAAGGACTTGCTACCGAATTCTAAACGATTCGCAATGTTAAAATATATCCCCCCTCAAAAAAAATTAAACACACACACTACTCCATTACCTACAAAACCCTAGTATGAACGCTTCTATTGAGCCCTGATGTCCCTCAAAGGGTCCGAAAGGCATGCCGCGCCTCGAGAGACTCGGAGTCCCCAACCAGTGCCTCCACAGCTGTATGTGTACTACGGCTGATGGGGATTTAGGGGTTTAGGGGTTTAGGGGTTTACGGGTTTAGTTTTTAGGGGTACTGTTGATGATAGAGATCCTGCATTACCTTAAGGACCGCAAACTATGGGAATTATGGAATGCTCCTTATTATGGGTAATGCAGGATTTAGATCATCAACCGTAGCTGTAGAATGAACATGTTGTTGGAATTGGATGTAGAATGGGCATTTGTTGGGAATAGTAATTTTAATAAGGGTCTTTCTATTGCCAGACAGTTCGAGGATGCTTAATTTCTGTAAGTAGGTAGACGGCTGCATACGAGTCTCATTCTGCATATGTACGTGTGTGGGTGTATACGTACGTGTTTCATCATCTGTGTGAACGTTGTGCTGTTTGTGCCAAAAACCGCCTCGTAGCGCTGGATGATGATCTGAGCAACCGCCTCGAAATGCACAACAGAATGCACAGGTGGGCCCGAAAAGATGGGAAAAAAGGGACGACAGCAGTTCGCAAACGGCGCCTCCACCGGCCGAAGGTCCTTCAAACTGGGATCTGCATCAAGAAGTTGTCTCAGATCGTTGAAGATGACATCCATGCCGTCAGAGACGATAAAGAGGCGCTGCCGACCACCAGCGGAGGATGCAAGGTACTTTTCCAGAAATTCTTGATAAAACCGGAGACGCATGTGCATGCCGTCCCACTCGTGATTCTCACAGACGTTGTGAACTGGCAGAGGCGTGGAAGCACGGAAGATGTGAAAAACGGGGAAGTCCATCACCTTCACAAATCGCCCACCACTCACGCATGTCAGCACCTCCACGCCGGACCACTTGGGATGCCCGGCGTCGAAGTGCAATGCTGGGTCCGCTTCCCCGGACTCCAGGGCTGCCACCGGAGACTTCCAAGGCTGAAACGGCCTGATGTGAGGACTCCCATCTTTAGGGCCTTCGGGTTGTTTTTTGAGAGCCTCCAGCCTTACATCTTCAGGGCCTTCGGGTTTTGATGCTTAGGGTTTTGGGTTTTAGGGTAGAGAGAAGGCGGCTTGGAGCTACCCAACCCCGATTCGACGAAGCTCTTGGTTCGGCTCATCCTTTTGAAACCGGCCCTAAACCCGAAGGCCCTAAACCCTACGGCCCTAAACCCCAAAACCCTTAGGCCCTAAACCCTAAACCCTCCCTAAACCCTAGACCCCAAGGCCCTAAACCCCAAACCCGAAGGCCCAAGCCTTTTGGCCACCTGCTGCATGGGAGCCAACCGGAGCGCTGCCACGCGGAGGGCCGCCTCCGACTGGGCGCCGATCTGCTGGACCAGCTCCTGGGCCTTGCTTTAGGGTGACCCAAAAAAGGGCCAAAGAGGGATGAGGGCTTAGGGCTTAGGGTTTAGGGTTTGGGGTTTAGGGTTTAGGGCTTAGGGTTTAGGGTATAGGGTTCAGGGCTTAGGGCTTAGGGTTCAGGGGCTTAGGGTTCAGGGTTTAGGGTTTAGGGTTTATGGGGACTGAAGCTCCGCCTTGTGCCCGTCAGCTCTTGAACCACCCAGCACACACTGATAAAGACACCTCCCTTGAATTCGACGCTGCTTCTGGCACCTGGGCCTTAACCCTAAACCCTAAACCCTCAAGAAAGAAATAAATAGAAATTGCTTGTTGCTGTTGGCCATCCGAAAGCTCATTTTTTCGGTCGGGACACAATGTTGCCATTTTCGAATAAACCAATTCAGTTTCAGGGCTGCCCCAGCCGAGCCCAGCCCCAGCCCGCTGTCCAGCCCCACCCCCAGCCACAGCCCCAGCCCCAGTCCCAGCCCCCAGCCAGCCCCAGCAGCCCCAGCAGCCCCAGCAGCAGCCAGCCCAGCCCAGCCCACCCCCAGATTCAAAGTACGGTTCCAACAAAAAAACTTTCGGTCAAAACTTTCGGTCAAAACGTTTCGGTCAAAACGTTATTGGCACCCAAACCCTTAACAATTTCTATTAACCCTAATCCCTAGACCCTAAACCCTAAAGCCTACACCCTAAACCCCTAAACCCCTAGAGAACTACCCAAAAAAGCATCCACAGGGCCAGGAGGATCCCAGGCTTGAGGACATCTGGGCGACTGCGATCGATGCGTTCCAGCCCAGACTCACGGGTTTGGGGGTTTAGGGTTCTATATCTATATCTATATCTATATATATATATATATTTATATATATATATATAGATAGGTTTAGGGTTCTATATAGGTTTAGGGTTCTATATAGGGTTTAGGGTTCTATAGGGTTCTATATAGGGTTTAGGGTTCTATCTCGGTTTTAGGGTTCTATATAGGGTTAGGGTTCTATAGAGGTTTTAGGGTTCTATAGGGTTCTATATACGGTTTAGGGTTCTACATATAGGGTTTAGGGTTTCCGAAACCCGTTATGGAATGCACTTCGGCTACCACGTCGAAATTTATCATCCCTAACCGTGGCCCTAACCCTTAAGCCCAAAGTCAACTCTAGACCCTGGGGACACCCATACACTAAAGCCAAAGCCTATGCCCTAAACCCAACCCATAACCGCAAAACCCGACACCCAAGCCCTATAAGCCCGAAACCCAAGCCTTAAACCCCAAACCCAAGCCCGAAACCCTACATCCTACTTGAACCCAAGCCCAAAACCTTGAGCCTTCCACGCCCAGGTTCAGATACCCACCGGGCTGCGAGCACCTACGCGCGACGCTTCATCAAAGTGGCCCGAGATGAGCATAGCTTTTCTGTAAGCTCCTTGTGTATACTCTAGACACCAAGCCCGGTTTGATATACGTATGTATGCATGTATGTACGTATGTATGTATGTATGTATGTATGTGGATAATCTAAGTCTACACCCCCCCCCCCCCCATCACACCCCTAAACCCCAAACCCCAAGCCTGGCAGGCTTCAACATGGCTTAGGGGCTGAGTACTTGGAGGGTTTAGGGTTTAGGGTTTACGACTATCGCGGCTTCAGCGACTTCAGGACCCCAAAAACCCATAAGAGGGATGGTCTTTTGGGGGCTCGGAATAAAGAGTATATAGTAGATTTATAGCCGCTGAAAAACATGGTGCAGTCTACCCAGACCTTATCCAAGGCCCCTAGAGTAACTGGCCCAGGTGGTGCAAAGGCAAGGCGTGTACAGTGACATCCTCACAGAGCCGTATGAAGAGTTGGGATCCTTAGAGGAGGACTGGGTTCAGGGTTTAGGGTTTAGGGTTTAGGGTTTAGGGTTTAGGGTTTAGGGTTTAGGGTTTAGGATTAGGACCTTAGGAGTTTTGGGTGTTCACCTTTAGGATTTGTGGTTTAGGGTTTAGAGCGTAAAGCAAGTCGTGTGGTGTTTTTGGAGCCATGGAGGGTTCTGGTATGTTCTGGGTTTTTTTAAGGGTCCGCTTCAATCCGTTTCTGTTCAGAAAATCGCCGGGATTGCGCCAGAATCCTACAGGAGCCAACTTTTGACATGCTCTTGCCTGCACCCCTCAAGCGCATCCTCATGCAGCATCGCAGCTTGGCTCCCCCAGTTCTTTTAGGGGTTTAGAGTTGATGGTGCCGCTGTCTTCCGTTGTTCGTGTCTGTACAAAGCGCATGGCTCGATCTTTTCCATTCTTCTTCCCGAATGGATCATGTGTTAGGATGAAGAGCAGCAGCGGCAGCCACAGCACGAGCAGCAGCAGCAGCAGCAGCGGCAGCAGCAGCAGCAGCAGCAGCGGCAGCCGCAGCCGCAGCAGCAGCAGCAGCAGCAGCAGCAGCAAAACACTCGGAGGAGCAGGGGCAAGCAGGATTGCTCGCACTAGAGGACGAGCACCAGTGGCAGCAGTGGTGGAAGTAGAAGTCGCCGCAGTCCTTTCGCCGAGGGAGGCGTCGTCGTTTGCATTGCCCCCCTCGTCGTCGTCGTTGTTGTCGTCGTCGTCGTGGCAGTCGCCTTCGTCGTTAAGGGCATTAGCCTAGTAGGGGGAGCAACAGCAGCAGCGATGATTCTGGGTCCTTGTTGTCGTTGTGGTTGTGGCAGTGGTAGCGGTAGTTGCAATCGTAGTTCATGTTAGTCAGCAGCAGCAGCAGCAGCAGCAGCAGCAGCAGCAGCAGCAGTGGCAGTAGCTACAGTGGTTTTGCTAAGACAGTGGTAGTGCTAAGTCCACACCCAGCCAGAGACCCATTGCCCCTATCCATCTGTAAAACTTGTTAGAGATCTTCCATCACCAGCACGCAATCCTCGAACCACATAAGTTCTATACCATGCCCCTAAACCCCAAACCCTTAAGCCCAGGACCGTTCACGCACGTCTCCACATCACTGGGGTGTTCACTTAGTACTCCCGGATTTGGGGCCCTCTATACTATCTTATACGAGGCTTAGGGTTAAGGGTTTAAGGGTTTAAGGTTTAGGGTTTAAGATTTAGGGTTTCGGGGTTCAGCGTAGCGACGCTGTGATTGAACGCGAGATACACTGAGTATGTAGGGCGAAATCCTTTTGCCGCACATTTGTTACTCTAAAGACCAGCACCCGTACCCTAAACCCTAGACCCTAGACCCTAAACCCTAAACCCTAAAACCCTAAACCCTAGACCCTTATACCCTAAGCCGCAATCTGTAGAAAGCCAGGGCACCGAAGCCGCAAAATCCCAACGCCCCAAACTTAAAGCCATCAAAACCCTCAAAACCTGACACGACCCCAAACCTGAACCAAACCCTACAACTTCATTGCACCCTGAATCCTTCGAAGGAACCCCAAAACCCTCCTCAACCGTAAGACCTGCCCGAAAGCGGCCCTACATCCTAAACCCTTCACCCTAAACCCTTAAACCCCCAAGACCCCCAAAGCGCAACCTAGACCCAACCTCTAAACCAGATTTGAAGGGTTGCAAGGTGTGAGTCATGGCCAAGTTCGTCCCGTCGACGATTGATTACCCTTCTTCGAGCCAGGAATGTCCTTTCCCGAAAAGTCCAAAGGACCTTAAGGGTCCAAAGGACCCAATAAGTAGCTATTTAAGCGGTTCTTTTTAGGGTTCTATAGTGCACGAACTATCACAGGGTCCTAGACAGAATTTGAAGGGTTACATGAGGGATTTCAGGGCCTAAATGACCCAATAGATCGGTACTTGGGATCAGAAGAGCAGTCGTGTAGGTTAGTATCTGGGAGAGTATAAGGGTAGTTTTCTAAATCCGGGTCCCTGTTTGATCCCCAATTTGTTACTGGCGCCCCTGATGAAAAGGATCCTTAAAGGTACCTATTTGACGAGTAGGTCGTTCGACTCTAGGCTTAAGCCGTCCCTAATACAGACCTCAGGGTTTAGGGTTTAGGGTTGAGGGTTTAGGATCGATAAGAAAGAACGGATTCCCTTCTTAAAGCGCCAAGCTCGAAGCCTTCGATTTGTCTTCGCAGGTTCTTACAACAAACCCTCATGTGGAAGTTATAGGGACCTTAGAGGAAGTAGGTTTCGGTAGATTGAGGCAGGGTAAGGCAGCGGACACTCTGTGGCTTTTCGATGCTTATCGTTGCAAAAGGACAATCCTTGGTGAGCTTTGGACCCAAATTCCTGGCGTCGCAGCAACGGTGGTGGTATGTGCGTAACAAGAGCTCATATATAACCGTAATCTTGAAGCGTCAGAAGTCACAATCGTGTAAAAGGGACTGACTGCCAGGCCTTTGAAGGAGGCTTCAATTAGGTTAGCCGCTGTCTGCCAAGAGTTTTCATATTGAGTTCCTAGGCGGTCTCCGGGTTTAGGGGGGAACAGGGTCCTTGTTGGAGCATACAGGGAATTTCGTATTTCGTTAGCATGTGCGATTGCAAGTTCATTTATCCCGACGAGATATTGGGCCATGGCTGCAGTTTTCGCCGTTGCTTTCTTGATCGAAGTCGACGCCGAAGAATTTGAAATCTCGCCATTTCGGGCACCCTGTTCCGAGGATCACAGCAAGGAACGGTTGTCTGCAGTCTGCAGACATCGGTCACGAGGCCGCGGAGTTCGTGGAGAAATGTCTCTTTAGACTAGCCACTCTAAACCTTAAGCCCAAAATCCTAAACCCAAAACCCTAAGCCCAAAACCCTAAACTCAAAGCCCTAAACCCAAAGCCCTAAACCCTCCAGGGTTTACGGGTTAGGGTTTAAGGTTGTGGGTCTCAGGGTCCGAGAACCTCAGTTCTTTAGGGACGTTTACCTTAGAAGGGGTTTGCCGTTTTGGGGTTTAGGGTTTAGGGTTTGGGGTTTAGAGGTTTAGGGGTTTAGGGGTTTAGGGTTTAGGGGTTTAGGGGTTTAGGGGTTT